TGTTAACGTCTTAGACTGTGAAGCTAGCTGTATGAGTTGAGTTGAAATCCTGAAGATAACATCAGTTCCTACAAAATTGCAAGAACTCTTTTGCTGATAGTGTGTCAATCAACATGGAACTTAAGATCTACTGATTACTTTTGACCACCTACGTATATTTCCAAGAAGAATTCATACAGTCAGTTAATTATTTTGAGCTCAAATTCAGTGCATAGAACAGTGAAATCATTCAATGGTTGTTCTAGTCCTTAATGAGAACAAACTGTGTTAATTTAGAAGTTACAAGTATTATAGTCTATTATTATCATTATTATTAGTAGTACATGAATTGAAACTTCTATTATTATTTTACGAAAATAGAAAAAACAAAAAAAACAATAAACAATCAACCAGAAGGAGAGACAAAAATGTATTGAAAAAAATATGATATAAGTGGTACTTGATCATATATACAACAACCATAGAAGATCTGGTTTTCAACAACAACAACAACAACAAGAATCCAAATTTCCACACAAGCAAAAAATCTTGCAGATCAACAATAACAGATTATTGGAATAATGAATATACAAATTTACGCAAGTTAGACCACACTTAATGGTTATAATAATAATAATAGTATATAAAAACTCATTAAATGTAGCAAGCAAAATTATATATATAGTATCTTACCCCTGATGAATAAACAGATACACTGAGCACAGCCAGTGATATAAATACACAAAATTGTGTCGAGAGTGAGGTGTTTGTCAATTAATGGCAGTGAATATTTCCACTAAATGGCTAGGTGAAATGAGGATCTTCGAATTCCAAATTAGTAAGTTGAAGACTAGACGCCTACTCCTGAACCTGAAATCCTTAGTTGAGCCGATGGATGGGTCATCGGTAGTTACTGTTGAGAAGCATCACTCTAAAAGACTAGTAAATTATCTATTGGTCCCCAGATTCCAATGATCACCTGATTTTTGATATCAGTCAGTAAAGAAGGCAAATCTTCAAACTAATCTCCCAAAACCTCTTAATCAAATACAAAATGGAAGTTTGCCGTTTTTCGAATTGAAGGTATGGATATTGAGCATCCACCCAGGGGAATTTGAAAAACCTGATTCCAAACCACTGGTGCACATTGGTTACAGTATCCCGAGGGAGCAAATGGAGTATGAACCAATTATTGGTTACTGGGCACTATAGGACTACATCTCCTAACATTGCTCCACTGCCTTGTGGATCAGACTTTCATGTCGAAGGCTCCGGAAGTGGCCCTCTAATAAAACCACCTGTTTCGGTTTGGGCACCCGGGCAGTATCCCGGCCCTCACACAAATCGAATGATTTATATGGCGCATATCTCTTTGCTGCCTCCATGTACCAATGTTTATATGTTTAGATAAAATGGTTACCCTTTGAATATAAATGAGTTATTTACGAAGTTATTATTATTAATTTACAACAGACATGTTCACTACTACTGATATTTACAAATCAGTAGTTTTGAGACAAATATTTTAATCGATTGAATATTAAATTCTTTCATAAATGATACAAATTTTTTTGTTTGTTATTGAAATGTATACAAGAAAGTTGATTAAAACAAAATAACAATGAAAAAAAAGAATGAATCTGATTTAAGTTTCATTATGTTAATCTCATTAGAAGTAATGTATATTATCCCTAATATAGAAAGAAGTATAAAACATATTGAATAATAGAAGAGAATATTGACGACAATATATATATATATATATATATATATATATATATATATATATATATATATATATATATATATATATATATATATACTTATTTGTACTTGGAAAAATAACAAAATAATAATGATCACCATCATAATGGTAAATATATACAGGTTTATGCATGTTATTGTAAAGATTAACTGATTGCCAAAATTATATTACGGTAGATATAGCTTAGTCTTAAATGAGGGTAATATGATAATGTGTAAACGTTGAATGCTTTATTTATTTAAACACATATAACAGGATGATAATAATTACACAGTTAATTTTCAACCATAAAGTTTTTGTGTAACGGAGTAGTTACATTACGCAGTTACCTAAATTAAAGTAAATGGAATAGGATTCAAACTTAAAACCTAATGAGTTGAAAGTATGATTTAGTTACTAATCTATTGTTTTATTTTATTAAATGAACTACAGAATATGCATTTTTATTCAGTCAGGACTTTGTACCTACCTTGGTGAATAGAGACCAACAGCTTTACACTTAATGTTACAATCTCTTTTCTTACGGTAATGACCCAGCTATACCTATTGCTTAATATTCTTGGACACCGATTCACTCGACAAGTCCCCAAATCAAAACACGGTTGAACAGGAAACAGATTATATTCCAAATAACAAGGTTAGATGGAAGTCAGAAGCAAGTCAGAAGCACAATAGAGAAAACGTCAGTATATTTATAGATCTTTACATGAGAAGATTCTAGAATATTCTCCAACTATCGACTAGTACTGATTGGATAAGGATTAGCCAATCAGCGTGCAGCAAAGCAATCGTGAATTGAGCATGCTTTAATCCGGTCTATGTCCCGCTAACACTTGATAAAACTCTTGTGTAAATAATATTATGAAGTCAGCTAGAATTTCAGTGGTAAAATAATGCCAATGTACATTATGGAAATCACCGGACTGCATCACGAGGCAAGCCCTAACTTAGAATTCTGAAGGGAAACGGAAAAGAAGGAAAGCCGAAGAACACATTACATCGAGAATTGGAAGTAGACAAGAAAAGAATAAATAACAATTAGAAAGAACTGGAAAGGATTGTTCAGGACAGGGTTAGATGGAGGAGAGTATTGATGAGAGGCCTATACTCGTTCACAAGGGGTAACATACCTAATCAAGTAATTAATTATGTTAATTTTGAAGAACGTAAATAACATTGAATGATGATGGTATAATTATAATTACACAAATGGACACATGAATTAGTCAATTATATAGAAACGTATCTTTATTTGTTACTATGCACAATGATTTATATCATTATTAAAAAGTAATTAATGTTTAAAAGTGATCAATAAGAATGAACCATTTAAATTAGATTTTATTAATAAGTTACTTTAAATGAATAATTTAATTACTTTCAGATAACTACTGAATTCTTTGTATGAATAAATAAAATCACATAGTCTAATACACTGAGAAATATTCAGGAATCATAATTGAATTGTATATAATGAGTGTATAAGTAAGTTAAGAACATCAAATGTGCTAACAGATCATCTGTAAATTATTTGACCATAACATTAGTAGTTTAGAGATGTCTTAAAACTAAGAGAATAGACTATGGTGGTTTTTATTTATTTATTTTAACACATAGATATTGGTACAAAGAGGCACCAACTACATATGCGCCACACAAATCTCATTCGATATGTGTGAGGGCTGTGATACTGCCCGGGTGCCCAAACCGAACCAGGTGGTTTTCTTAGGGAGGTCACACCCCGAGCCTTCGACCTGAAGGTCTAACCCACAAGGCAGTAGAGCATCGTAAGGAGATGCAGTCCCATGGAAGCCGGTGAACAACGATTGGTTCATACGCCATTTGTTCCCGCAGGATACTGGAGCCCATGTGCACCATTGGTTTGGGATCCGGTTAAAGCGCCGGACATTCGCTTTTCGTCCTCTCATTTTCGTAAACAACACCCCACCACGAGGTAGTGAGTAGGACTTCCCTGGTAGAGGCTATATACGCGTGGCCATGTGAGAGCATTTCGAGAGGAAGAACGGACTCTCCCCACTCTCGGCCGTACCAGGGCATTTGGGGGCTAAAATGACGGGATAGCGAAGGTGGTCCTTTAGGCACACCGCATAGGTGTGGCGAAGTAATCACCTTCATTGCCCGACCAAAAGAATACGTGATATCAATTCATGAGGTAATTGACTAGTCAACTGACCTATGTGAGTAGGTCAAAACTACCTGGTTGAGATCAACTTGATAATCACAGTCAATGGTTGGAGATACTGGATGACATGGCTTAGAACCTTTCACGATGGTATAGATGCATTCACTACTCATCTCAATCATTTTATTCCGTCACACTAACGTTGTATTGCAACTTGATTCAAAACATATTTGTGTCAGACTAAGATGATTACGACAGAGATGTTCTTAAATCAGTCTCTCGAATATTAGACACGGCTGACAACTTCCAACAAGTATCAAGTAAAAACACAATACTTCCAAGTTAATATATATATATATATATATATATATATATATAACAGTGGTCTACAGGTTAAGGGTTCGCACGCGAGACCGAAGGTCCTGGGTTCGAATCCGGCGTGTAGGATCGTGGATGCGCACTGTTCCGAAGTCACATGCTAGGACGAAACGACCATCCAGTGCTTTCAGGTTTTTAACCGTGGCCTAACACTGATCGGTTGGTGATATGAACAATAATTAAGTTGTAGAGGTTGGTACTATATCAAGCCAACATAGGTTATTCTAGCATCTGAAAAGACCAATTTATTCATTCTTCTCAAGCCACATTTTGACCTTGTCACTTATTAAACCTGACTGTTATTATATGATCCTAAGTCTTTCAATTGCCTACCCCATTCATCACGTGTCTGTATCTTATCTTCGGTCTATTTATAAATATTGAGTTACTCTTGGTCAAATCGAGTTGGCTCACTCGCATTCTCGGCTGTGCATCACCTTGTTTTCCATTTTCCAATGACATCTTTCACTTCGCTTTGTTTACTTGGTTTTTCCGATTGTCTGTCCGCATCAATGAGTGTGCGAAATATACAAATTTAAAATTCATCCTCGTATCTGACTTCTTTTATTCTGTTATTTCCTAACGTGAATCAAACCAATAATTATGTACGATGGTAGTTGGAATGTATATTTCGATAACAATTATCGTACGATCTAACTGAGGTCAGTTACAAGGCCATTAAAAAGTCAACCAATTACAAAATAAACAACAAAATATAACAAGAGAAAAACTTACTGACAACATAGGCAACTAGATTGCTTGGAAGACGGGCACGTTGTGAACCACCACGACCTAAAACAGTTGAATTAGCCATTTGATCTCTAGTAAATAAACATGCCATCAATGCACAGGTAGCACGTGTCCATTCATTTGTCTCAATATAATACTTCCATTGACGACTAGCCATGAGATCAGCATTTGTTGTAAGCTAGATTACCAAGAAGAAGAAGACTATACTATTCAAAAACGCTGAACATACGTATTTCAAGAGTTGTTTCATTCAAACAAAGAACAAAACCAGAAGTAGACAATTGCTACCAATTGTTTATATTATAATAAAAACCAGGGATCACAAGATTTTAATATGAAACTCCCTAAAAGTACAAAAAGACCTCCTAATCTTAGAGCTATTATCAAACGTATTCCCATATGCGTTGTTTTTTATTTTAAACAAATACGGTAGTTTAAGTAGATTGTTGTGCATTTAATGAAAGATCATAGTTTACTGTAACATTTTACGACTAATTTAGTGATTAGAACACATTCTTTTACTCAACTATTAAGTCTGAAAACCATCATTTATTTCTCTACTCAGCAGTTAAGTACTTGAATAGCAATAGGGCAGTTAGCTCACGTATAAACAGTATGCAACTTAATATTAACTACATAAGCTTGTACATTTATTATGCAAGTTGGATTATTATTAATATTATTATCATTACTTTTTAAATCATTAAATACAGTAAAGTGAAATATTGACAATAATCTTAGTATATATTTATTTGAACACATAGATATTGGTACAAAGGGGAAACAAATACACATGCACCACACGATAACAATGAGGCTGTGAAGGGATAGAGAATGTAAAGTGCATATAGGAAAGAGGAGAACAACAAAGAACAGAAATCAGTATATGAGAGTAAAATAATAATAACGGGAGAAACAGTTCAATTAGGAAAAGTACAGCCAGAGAGAATTCTTCCAGTTAAAGAAGTTACGTCTATTTTTTAAGAAAGCAAATAAAGTTACAGTAGAATTGACACTGGCTCCTATTCTGAGTCATGTCTGATAACGTCTCTTCTGATGGACAAAAGCCGCTCTGGCTTTCACTATACGTGCATTGATCTCATCACTCACACCACCACCAACAGCTGTGCAGCTACCCACATACACCAACTTTTCGACTACTATCTGCTCACCATACAAAGTGAGTACAGGACTCGAGTCCTGCCAGTCTCGTAGAATTACTTTGCACTTCGAAGGTGCAAAGCACATACCATAATAACGGACACTGATTGCCAACTGATTAAGTGTGGATTGCATGCCTTGGGCATTATCGCACAGTAACACAATATCATCCGCATACTCAAGGTCGAAAAGTCTTTCTCCAGGCAACAGATTCACACCACTATCACACACATCCATCACAGCTGTTTCCATAACCTCACTGATAGCATAGTTGAAGAGGAATGGTGAGATTGGGCAACCCTGTCTAACTCCACTGCTCGAATGGAACAATCGAGAGAGATGGTTGTATGCCCTCACTCTCCCTGAGGTGTTTGTATATAGGGCCTTCAGCATATTAATAAACTTCTCAGACACACGCTTCTTCAATAGACAATCCCACAGAACAGTCCTCTCCAACGAATCCAAGGCAGCCCTGATGTCAAGAGACACTACGATTGTTGGCCTTTGATAAGTATGGCGGTGTTATAACGTTTGGCGGAGGGTGAAGATATGATCAATACATCCTCGACCAGAAAGAAACCCAACCTGCTCCTCGCCAGTCAATCTTTCTCGGGTTTTGAACAACCTACGAAGTATGACGGAGGCCAATAGCTTGGACGCAATCGGAAGGAGACTTATCGCCCTGATAGTTGTTACAGAAACGACGTGGACAATTTTTAAAGATAATGGTAACTACCGACTCATTCCACGATGTTGGAACATTGTGTAATTGTCAGACCTCTGTAAACAACATAATCGGTTCCATAACCAGAAAGTCACCACTATCTTTATAAAAAGGGGTGGAGGTATATAATCTATGCCTGGTGATTTGTGGTGCTTCAGAAGTTGGAGTCCCTAGCGATATTGTTGATTGGCATCCCATCATCTTCACAGATTGTTTCCCTAGTACCAAATTTCTCGCTATCAGTGGATTGGATTAGTTGAAAGAGCTCCCGGAAGTTTCCGGATGCAGCTGCTGCTTCGAACTCATTGGCACGGACCAGACACCAAACGTCTCGGTCTTTACGCAGACTTTTCACAATTTCATCATGTAACAGTCTTCGTTATGATTAAACTCGAGGTCACCCGGAGTAGAACGACGGGAGATGAATTTGTTGGTCACTGGAACGTAAGGTAAGATTAGCGCAAACAAGGGCATGGTCTGAATCCAGATAGGTACTCCAAAGGGAGCAGCAGTCCTGTACACAACCATACGAGCGGTAGCTGATTGCAATGTGTTTAATCTGAAAAGGGGCTTGAGATGAAGAGGGAGGATGCCAGGTAGCACATCGGCGATGACCATGCCAGTAGTTGGTGCCAGCCAGAAACATCATTGATCGCATCCGGGCTGCAATCTATAAGAGCATAGACAAAGATGACAAAAGACATCGTTCCTCACACCGATTTCATTTCGATTTGATGGAACTTTCTAATCTAACAGCATATAACCGACTACCAATGAGTAACCAATCTATCAGTGCTGCATCGGCTCTAGCGTTTAGTGCGACATTAACGCAAGAAAAACGAGATGAAGATACCACAGGGTCTCCGGATAAACGCATGTGAAACAAGGTTTCCGAGGTGACAGATTGAGAGTAAATTTGTTGTACTTCATTAGTCTTGAACACGGGTCTCGAATACACAACAGACATCGATATCAAGACTTTATAAAGGCATAACCAACCCCATCTGTTGTCCGATCTGCATTATTGTGCGAACGTTGAAGGAGGCCAGTTTGAATGGTATATATGGCTTTGGAAAGACTGTTTCATTCAACTTTTAACTAGTCAGTGACTTGAGATCGCTTAGATAGGATAGGGTTTCTACCATAGACGAGATACTGTATAGATTTAAAAGTAAAATACGGAAAATGAGAATAAAGCGGACTACATAAGCGATGTAGCATAAAAGAATGTTATATGATTGTGAATATCAGCCCTTGTGGTCTGGTGTGTGACGAAATCTCAGCACGGATACAGAAGGCTCGACTAGATTTTGCTAACTTGCGTCATTTATGGCGTAGGCGAGATATCCGTCTATCAACCAAAGGACGGGTTTACTGCGCAGCAGTTCGTTCCGTCCTACTTTATGGCAGTGAAACATGGCCGGTAAGAGTAGAGGATATTCGTAGGCTACTAGTATTTGATCATAAGTGTCTTCGAAATATTGCTCGTATATCATGGGACCATCGAGTAAGTAATGCAGTTGTTAGGAAACGGGTACTAGGTAAGGATGGCAAATCCATTGATGACGTAGTGAAACTTCATCAGTTGAGATGGCTTGGACACGTGTTACGTATGCCCAACGACCGACTGCCTCGACGTGCTATGTTCAGTGGTATAGGAGTAGGTTGGAAGAAAGGTAGGGGCGGCCAGACCGAACCATGGCACAAGTCCATGAAGTCACTGACAAGTGGACTGAGTCATGTCGGTAGGTGTAGCCTACCTGGTCGGGATCCGCGAGATGATAAAAACCGATGGTTAGAGACCTTGAATGACATGGCTCAAAATCGTTTGCAATGGCGCAGGTGCATACACTCTTTGTGTTCTCCCAAATTTTGATCTCCTATTCCTCCTTGTCTTTTTTTTCTCCTCTCAAATTTATTTTACTGTATTATACTCTTTAAGTAACATCTCCAAACACTAATCTTCCCGATTACTGCTTATACTCTTACTACTTCTACCACTAAGGGATTTGAATAGACAACCGCATCCCCATGCTAATATAGTGTGGCAACCCGAACTGATGTACGTACGTACGAAGTTCTACGTTGTTACTGACTGAATGATTGTGAATAAAATTTATCCGAATGAGCGTTGAAGCAAGACTAATTTTTCCAGTAGTAATTATCTTAGTACTATTGTTCTTCACAATTATTATAAATCTCTGATGGAGATCCACAAACTCAATTCAAATAATAATAAAAATAAACCTAGTTTCCGTCTTCATATCATATGATGCATCTCAACAATTTGTACAATGAAACATGAAAATTCATGACTACACAGAATCATCTGATTACTTTGGTTGAAAATTAATGTAATTTATGGTTAAATAAAAAAAGTTAAGTGTAATTGCAGGAGGTAACCTAATTACTAAAGATGTTTATCATACATCAATTATAATTAAGCAAATACAGACGAGTCATTTTATTTAAGATTTTTGTACAGTTCAGCAAATTGTTGATGACAAACTTCAATGATTAATGGCTTTCAGTACGATAGGTTCATGAAAGAGAGAAATTCATCATTTGACATGAAGTGTGCTACTAAGTTCATTCAGTATTTAGCTCATTACCAAATATAAAGCAAATTATTAGAAACCTAGACAAATGTCGTGTAAGTCATTCACTTATAACTGACAGGTTTTTAGAGGTAATTTTTGCAGCACATAGTTCGTAAAGTCTGGTTTGCTACAGATACCCCTTAAGCTATTAACCCTTAATTTTCAAACACTATCCTGACGTTTTTATAGCACAGCAACGAATCTTCAAGCAAATTCCTCTCATAGGAGAACCTAATAGAATATGCAATCTTTTTCATAATATAAACTGACTGGATTAGGTCGATAAACAAACCAAACTACACAGTCGTTATAAGACAACAAATATTACGTCATTGGGAGTTAATAATCTAAAAACAATGTTTCAACTACTTTTTTCTCGAAATCATAATTCCTGAAGATAGGTGAAGTGAAATTGACCATGGCTTTGCAGCTAAATGGCATAAATCAGCTAGTAGAATAGTGTGATTTTAATTCAGTCGCAATATTCAACTATTGAGCTACAAGTCTGAAAACCACCATTCATTTCTCTACTCAGCAGTTAAGTACTTGAATAGCAATAGGGCAGTTAGCTCACGTATAAACAGTATGCAACTTAATATTAACTACATAAGCTTGTACATTTATTATGCAAGTTGGATTATTATTAATATTATTATCATTACTTTTTAAATCATTAAATACAGTAAAGTGAAA